TATGTACGGATTGTGATGAGTTGTATGAGCCTCTAATAAAATGATTATTTTAAAAAAAACAACACTCCTATTCAGACCCCTACCCAGGTATAAGGTTTTGTCATTTATGAAATGAGAGTGTTGTAGACAGCCTAGAAAATTTAATACTGTTATTTTTTATTTCAGCTTCTGGACAACAAAGCAAGTCATGTCTTTCCAGATTCATGCTTCAGGGTTTACCAATTTTTTAATAGAGTTGATAGTTGCGGATCACAGCCCAACTCATACCCACAATGCCATGCTACCAGGGCTCCCTGGAATTTCAGAAGCTGGGCCACTTAGACACCAAATACTCACACCCCACCCCACCCCCGTAAGATTCCAAGCAGAGGATAAGCATTGTGTTGGATTAGCTTGAGTCATGTATATGTCCTTGTTTAGAGCATTGGTTCTCAACTGGGGGCATTTTGTCTTCTCAGTGGGCAATAGTTAGACACATTTATAACAACTAGGTTGTTTTCTACTGGCATCTATTTGGTAGAGGCCAGGAATGCTGCTCAGCATCCCTATAGTTGATAAGACACTGCCCAAAGCAAAAAATAATCCATTTCCAGATGTCAACTGAAGAGACTGAGGCTCTTGGGTTAGTTGGGAACAGTTCCAGCAGGCTGCATCCTGTGGGAAGAGGGAGGCAACCAAAGCACGATGTCCGAAAAAGAAGGCATAGGTACTAGACAAAAAAGTGGTATGCACACATACATAAAAGTTCTAACTTAAAATTCCAAAAAATATATAGGTAGTTATTTCAAAAAAATTATCATTTGACAGTGTTTTGAATTCTATACCATCAGCTGAACTAATGACACTATCAATAGAATTACCTTATGCATGAGGAGGAGGATTTATAATGTTCTCTATTATAAAATGATAATGATCTCTCTAAAGTGAGCCAGAGACATATAAAGCAAAGATTTATTAATGGATTTGGGCTTGCATTTAATTGCAGCCCCAGTCTAAGAATAGGTAGTTTTTATGACATGGCCCTGTTCAGTGCTTGCCCTCATAAAGAGATCACTGAAGATATATATGTATGCTGTAGCAAAATGTGGACAAGAAACCAGATGGTGCCCAGCTGTCACAAAGAATAGCATTGTCTGGGGTCTTAAAAACTTGTCTTCAAACAAGCAACCATCTAAGTGAGGTGTCAATTAAGTCAACATGGAAGAAGCACACCAGCCTGTGTGATCCAAGGATTGTAAATATAATAAAACCCAAATCTGAAGGAGGGAATGGTATCAGAACTTAAATTGTGAGAACCCAGTTTGCTTATGGCTGTGTATGACTGGAAGCCCCAAACCCATTTGCCAGCATTCTCAGATAGAGTAAGCCTCTGGCAACCCCTTCTGAACATAATGGAGAGATGTGAACAGCCTTGCTATCAGACAGCATTGTAAAGTCAATTGTGGCAGATGTAGTTAGGTTAAAATATACTACTCACTTGATCTCATTTTTGATGCATTCTAAAATTGTTTCAGTTTTTGATATGTTCTGTTATTTTAAATTGAACTTTCTCTGTTTTGTCTAATCGTTGGGTTTTTGTCTGCTTGATTGCTTTCTGTTTTTATTTCATATGATTTTCTGTTTATGAAGTAGAGGATAGGTGGATCCATAGAGACAATAATGGGGTTGGTATTTGCCTAGAGGTATGGCCGGGAAGGATGAGGAAAAATGGGGAACAAAAACAATGAGTATGAGAAGAAATTGTTCTGAAATTGATTGTATGAATCTTAATATACTTGAGTGATTGTAGGATATGTGAAGTATATTCCAATAAAGCTTTCCTTAAAAGTTGTTTGAAATGAAAATGTTTGTGTAGTTGTTAGATGCCATTGAGTCAGCTCTAAATCACAGCAACCTTGTGTACAATCGAGTGACACACCACCCAACCCTGTGCTATTCTCACAGTTGCTGTTCGCTTTGAGCACATTCTTATCGCCATTGTATCCATCTGTCCCCTTGAGGACCTTCCTCTTTTGACTAAGAATGATGTCCATTCCCAGGGACTCGCCTTTTTTGACACCCCATAGTACATGAAATAGAGTTCACCGTGCTCGCATCTCAGGAGCACGCTGGCTGTGCGTGTTCCAAGACCACTCGGTTTCTTTGGGCATCTGTGTGTTCACTGTGCTTCGCCAGCACTGGCATCAGTTCTTCTGCGGTCTTGCGTATTCGTTGCCCAACTTTCACATGCAGATGAGGAGATCGAAAGTACCATGATGGGGTCATCTGAGTTCGCAAAGTGCCATTGTTTTTCTTTAACACTTCAGAGGGAAATGAAGCACATTTCTCCTAGCTGTATGTCCTTAGGATTTTTTGTTTGCTGCTGCCATGAGCATTGATTGTGATTCCAAGTAAAATGAGTTCTTGACAACTTCCATCTTACCTTCGTCCATCATGATGTTAGGTCTTGGTGCAGTTGTGAGGATCTTTTGTTTGTTTTCTTTAGTCCTCTTCGTTCTCAGCAGACAAGGCTGTGTCACCTGCATATCACAGGTTGTTAATCAGCCTTCTCGAAGCCTTCCCTGTAGTCCAGCTTCCCAGGTGATCTTCGCAGCCTACAGGTTGAACGAGGTAAAAGAATACAACCCTGACACTTAGCTTTCCTGACTTGAAACCACAGTGTCCCTGTTCTGTTCAAGCGGCTGTCTCTGGAGCTCTGTACAATGACTTGTTCTGGAAGTCTCAGTCTTTGCAATGCTGTCCGTAGTTGGCTATGTTCCACACAGTCACCTGACTGTGAGTAGTCAATAACACAACACGACATCTTTCTGGCTTGCTCCGTTTTCAAGATCCACCTGGCCTCAGCTGTGGTACCTCATGCTCCAGGTGTTCATTTAAATCAGACTTCACTTTCTGGCAGGTCCTTGTCGAGGTGCTGCTGAAGCCATTTTTAAATTATCTTAAGCAATATGTTACTTTGATGTGATTATTAATATTGTTCTATAATTTCCTTCTTCTGTTGGGGTACTTTTCTTTAGAATTGGCACAGATATGAAACTCTTGAGCCGGTTGACCAGGTTGCTGTCTTCCAAATCTATTGGTATAACCTAGTGAATGTTTCCAGGGCTACATCAGTTGATTGAAACATTTCACTTGGTATTCTGTCAATTCCAAGTCTTGTTTTTCTCTAATGCCTTTAGTGAAACTTGGACTTATTTCAGTAATATCAGTTCTTGATGATACGTTCGTTACCTCTTGAGATGATTGGATATTGAGCAATCCTTTTTTTTTAGCAGTTCTTTTTGATACAATGACACTCAGTATTCCTTCCCACCCCCAATGCTTCCTGTATCAGCTACTATTTTTACCCAGTGATACCTTTAATATTGCACCTGGAGGCTTTGTTTTCCCTTCATTTCTTTCTGCTTGAGATGTGCCGAGTGTGTTCCTCTCCTCTGGTGTTCTAACTCCTGTTGGTCGGCATTTCATTATGACTGCTTTTGTGTTTTGTTTTTCAAGCTGCCTTTTAAAATGACCGATTCAGTTCTTTTAACCATTTCTTCTCGTTGTTTTAGCTCCTCTTTGTTACAGAGCAAGTTTCAGATCTCTTCTGACATTCACTTTGATTTTTCCTTTCTTTCTTGACTTGGTAATGGCTTTTTGTTTGCTTCATATAGGATGTATCCTGTAACTAGTCCAGTCTTCAGTCATTCATGTTCGTGTATCAAATCTGTCCCTGAGATATGGTCTCTAGATTCAGATTAGATATCGTCAAGGCTCTGTTGACTTATTTTCATTGTCTTCAACTTCAACTTGAGCTTCTATATGAGCCAATGGTCGTCTGTTTCATAGTTAGCCCCTGGCCAAGTTTTAATACGAGCTTGTCCATCTCTCAGTCTAGTGTGTTTGGTTCCTGTGAGCTCCACTTGACAAAGTTCCGGTGTGTAGCTGCGAGTTCGCTTGTTCAACAAAGATACTTCCAGTGAAGAAGTCATTGCCCAACTCCTGCTCCACCCTTTTGTTTCCAACTTTCTTATTCAAATTGTCACTAATTATCAGTGCATCTGGATTGTATGTTTCACACTGACGAAGTTGGTTAACTCCCTCATTCTCTTCGCAGTCACCCTTAGTGGTTGATATATACACTTAGTAATAGCTGTGCCAGGCGGTCTTCCTTGTAGGCCAGGGTGAGGTAAATCATGTGGCACTCGGAGATGCTGTGTGCGGTGGCCGGGACTAATGTGTACAGATGGAATTCAGTGAGGGTTTACACTTTGTAAGGGGAGGTATAAGCTTCCCTTGAATGGATTGCACTCAACTTTAACTAAAACTGGCTCTTCTTAATAACTTTGGACTAAACCGAAGTACTTTGAAAGGAAGATGTAATTTAAAATGGAACTGAGCTTATTGGACATAACATAATTATTTTTCCTAAATGGAGGAATTTTTTTTTTTGTCAAACCGATTTAGATCAGCATTTATCTGTGTATGCATCCTTGGACAACTTACCATGACTGTGTGGTAATTTTTCAGTTACAATAAAAATGTACACTATACCAGGTTGTAGGGTAATATTAATGAAGCATCCTTCTACACTGGTCAGAACTTTGCATTTTGTATGTAAAAATCCTCAGATTTTTATCTGTAGCCTACATGGTCATGCTAGAATTTCTTTATTGTTACTTGATTTTTGCCTATCCAGTAATTAGTGTAAAATTCAAATAGAAGGAAGACATATTCAGCCCATAATTGCCCTACATTCCTTTGAACTCGAGCACTGTTTGAGGATCAGCCATATGCACATAACAGATACTTGTTTTTCTTCCATGTAACACCTCTGCTGTTCCAGGCCCCTTGCTGCCCTGGGGCAGTCTAGACATGATGGGATGCTTTTCACCTCTGCCCTTCAGATAGAGTAGCTTTGGGCTCAGCTGCCAAGGGAGCCACTTCCCAGTACCCTTCTCACTGTGGTGCTTGGCCCAAGAACCACACAACTTACCTCAGCCAGGGTGTCGTTTCAGGTGAACCACTGTTTACCAGAGAAGATCGTGGTCTACCGGGACGGAGTGTCTGATGGCCAGCTAAAGACGGTTGCCAACTATGAGATTCCTCAGTTGCAGAAGTGTTTTGAAGCTTTCGACAACTATCAGCCCAAGATGGTGGTTTTTGTGGTTCAGAAGAAAATCAGCACCAATATGTACCTGGCTGCTCCCGAGCACTTTGTCACTCCTGCCCCGGGGACTGTGGTAGACCATACAATAACGAGCTGTGAGTGGTAAGTCGGCGGCAGAAACAGGGAAGATGGATTGGAGGAGTTCTCTCTGCCCTGAGTCTTGGAATGAGGAGGTTGATGGATAGTATCTTTAGAGACTTGACTATTTAAAGAAATAAGCAAAATTTGAAAAATCAAGAAAACTTTAAGTATTCATACTTTCTTTACCTAAGATAGTGTATGCTTAACCATCAGCACACAACCAGTGGAGTGGCTAGCCCCAATTTTAATTGGCCCATGGCATTTGAGGTTCTGAATTCTTCCTTTTTAAATCATTTTGTTGGGGGCTTGTACAACTCTTATCACAATCCATACATACATCCATTGTGTCAAGCACATTTGTACATTTGTTGCCATCATCATTCTCAAAACATTTGCTTTCTACTTGAGCCCTTGGTATCAGCTCCTCATTTTTCTCCCTTCCTCCCCGCTCCCCCTCCCTCATGAACCCTTGATAATTTATACATTTTTATTATGTTATCATTGCTTACACTGTCCGACGTCTCCCTTCACCCACTTTTCTGTTGTCAGTCCCCCAGGGAGGTGGTTCTATGTAAATCCTTGTAATCGGTTCCCCCTTTCCACCCCACCCTCCCGGTATCGCCACTCTCAGCTCTGGAGGACCTGAATTCTAATCCTGACTTGACCACTCTATGCCCTTGATCCAGTTGCTTAACCTCTGATGCCTTAGGTGAAGGATTAGAATCATCCTGAGATTCTTTTCTAGCTATAGCTGGTCAAGTCAACCAGTACCAGGAATTTGTACTTTTTCCTCCCTAGGGTGGATTTTTACCTCCTTGCTCATCATGTCCGGCAGGGCTGTGGCATTCCTACACATTACGTCTGCGTTCTCAACACTGCAAACCTGAGCCCCGATCATATGCAGAGGTGAGCCAGTGACTTCCTTTTTCTCATCCTACATAGTTCTGCCCCCTGGCTCAGGTGGGCCCACTTCCTCCCCAGGCACGTTGACCCTAGAGTTACTTCATGGCCTCTGAGCAGTGATTGTGAACCTCAGCTGTACACTTCAACTACTAGAAAGGTTTGAAAAATATATCGAAGCTCAAACTCCCCTCACTGCTACTCTCCCCATCCCCAAGGGTCCAGACTTACATTTCAGGTTGGCTGGAGCCCAGGCGTCCCTGTGGATGAGTAAGGCACACCATCAGCTTAGAGACCCAGCACCCTTGAGTTTGGGCGATACGAGGGTCTTCAACGAATTAGTGGAACAATGGAATTAAAAGAAATGGAACGTTTCCACTGGCTTTTTGAAGTCTTTGTGTATGAATAATGTACTCAGTTACTTACCTTTCTGCACCCTTTTCTTGAGGTAAAAAAGCATCTCTCCTGGCAACGTGAGTTGGAATTGGCTCGATAGCAGTGAGATTGTTTTTTGTGTGTATTTTTTTGGTATTGTTTAGATATATAAACAAGGGCATCAAAAATGAGGGGAATCACCACATGCCCTCCAACTTTGAAATAGAAACAATTGTGCTGATAAACTGTGCTCTCAAAAAGCTACATCCTGCATTCCTCAGTCCCCTGTGTGCTGCAAAGTGTGCCATTCGTAAGTACATATCACATCGTTACGTCCCATATTGAAGGCAGAAGGTGATAAGAATCATGTTTTCTTTTTGGCCTGCAGGTTGACTTTCAAACTGTGCCACATGTACTGGAATTGGCCTGGTACCATCAGAGTTCCAGCTCCCTGCAAATATGCCCACAAGCTAGCTTTCCTGTCAGGACAAATCTTGCATCATGAACCAGCCATCCAGCTGTGCGAGAACCTGTTCTTCCTCTGACTTGGATGTGTGCCTGTCGGGGAATGACCCTTCTGAACTCAGCTGTGATTCTTTCTGTATCAACAGAGACGGATGCGGGGTTTGTGTTGGTGTTTCCCCTTCTCCAGCTCAGTTGACTTATACCCCCCCACCCCCATTAAGCCTTTTATCACTTAGAAGCAAGCCCCATTCTTAGTCAGCTGCAAGTTGCCTTGTAGCCTTTGTAGGGCCCAGGAGGGAGTGCAGTTCTGTGCAGTTGGAGTGGGTGGATGTAGGCAACTTAGTCCTCTCCACAGCCAGCAGGAGCAGTCATCGCACCCATCTTCTGTGCTCACTAAGCCGACCGGTTCTGTGCCAGAGGTGATAATGAACGAAGTCACTGGAAACGTCTTAAAGAAAAGTGACCTTCTTTGGGCTATCAGAAATGGCAATGAAAAGATCTGTGAAGCAGTTTTCCAACTAGGTATTAGTATTGCTGATAGGCTTGAAAGACACGTAGTTAATCAGCTTATGATAGGTTTTTGCTAACTAATCTTGCCTCAGTTGACACCTGTGAGATTGTGGTCTAGATTTGGAAGAATCTAGAAGTTTCTTTCAATATATTTCACTTGTTTTGCAGTGTATACTCCACATTGATTTACTCCCATCTCTGGAAATACACACACATCTCTGTTCTTTGTTATTGATCTTTATGAAGAAGGTTTCAGGTTTGTTGTTTTTTAAGTAAGAATCAAACTATGTGGAAAAAAACTGTTAACAGCTTGGAGGGTCAGGCCATGATGTGAGTTTTTATTGACCCTTCACCTGGTTCCTGTTTATATACGTTTGCCAGTATGCTCATCTTCCTTGCATAATAGCCCCTTCCTGGATGTTGTCTCACTCTGCTAGGAACTCTTGAGTCCAGGTCAAGAATACCAGGAATGGGCTCTGGAAAGCGTGGCACTCCTACCGAAATCCAACAATTACAGTTTAGCAAGCTCTCACCATTCCTCTGGGTTTTAGGAAGCATAACTGTGTGTGTTGTGGTCTTTTAGCTTTTCTTCAAGTCCCTTAGCTTGCTTTGTTGGTTTTAAACGTCAGTTACTTTTTTTTAGACCTTTTCAAATCTTGATTATGATACTGGTTTTTCTGTGTGTGTGACAGTAGGGAGGTGTGGAAGCTGAACTTCCCATTTTATATGACAGTGTATGAGAAGAGAAGCTTTAACTTACAATTTTGTCGAAAAAGGAAAGCAAGAACGTTTTTGTATTTTTGGTCTACCGCAGAGGTTGAGGTGGCCTGAGCATTATTGTTCAAATGTGCTTCTGATTGGATGTGGAGCGTAGGACACAGGTGAGGCTAAGACCTGGAATTTACAAAGCACTGAATCAAACAGATTGAATCCCTGGTCTCTTAACAGATCAGTTTCCTCATTCTCTTCAGAAGCATTTTAAAATTTTTCTTTTGGAGTAGGATTTCCTAATACCCCTTTCCCATATATAATCAGAAACGTGACAGTTGAATATAATACATTTATTTATCTATGTGTTTTACTTTATATTCCTGGTTTGTTTGGGGTTTTTTGCTTTATATTTTGGGGCTTTTTTATACCTTGTTTTATAGTTTTAGTGTCAAATGATGAGTCTTGGGTGGAAAATAAAAACAAATTTGTTTAAGTGTTTAGTTTTATTTGAAATAGTGTCATTACTTACTGTTTCTGTAGCTCTTTTCCTTCCAACAGCCACAACGCTGTGTTAGAGCCCTTCGTTGATCACTCTGCGTGCAAAGTGCTGCTCTGCTATTAGTACCAGGGAGCTCATGGTGAGCTGGGTCAGGAAGGGTCATGGAGAAGAGACTAGCAGTCTCACTTCTGGTACAGATGAGGCACTTGCATGCATTTACTTTGATTTGTTTTTGTTTTGATTATCTTTTCCTCTCTCACAACTGCATCTGTTAGCTAAAGTGAGCGCCAGGCAACATGAGTGGCATTTTACATTTTTCTTAAAAAAAAAAAAGGCTGCTTGTCTCTGCATATACTTTATAATGTATCTGCACCCTTAAATTCCTTCATAGGACACTGGCTGCTTGCCTCACCAGCGCTATCCCTTTGAAGACTTAAGGGGTTTTGTTCACCATTAATGGTACACAGCAGGGGTCCTCAAACTTTTTAAACGGGGCCAGTTCACTGTCCCTCAGACTCATTGGAGGGCCAGACTATAGTTTTAAAACAAACTATGAACAAATTCCTATGCACACTGCACATATCTTATTTTGAAGTAAAAAAACAAACGGGGCAAAAACACCCAGCGGACCGGATAAATGTCCTCTGCGGGCCACAGTTTGAGGACACCTGGTACACAGCTTCTGGAACTCATTCCAGGGGGGAAATGATCTGAATTCCATAGATTGCTCCCAGGGCCTTTTACTGGGGCAGCATTTTGTTAAATATGACAGTCCCTCACTCAAGAGGAATTTGCGTTACAATGAACCACACTTGAAACAGGCTGGTTTTGTTTTTAATGTCATTAGGATTATGTGCCACATATATGGTGTTACAGTGTATAATTTGCTAATGTTATTCTCAGATGTTCATTTGCAAATGTTTATATGTAATGTTTCCAACCCCCAAGGACAAAGTAAGACTAGATAATAAAAGGTAAGACGAAAACAAGACAGTGACGAGGTGTTTATTTACTTAGATGAGAACCCACTTACTGTGGAGTTGTTGTCATACGTCAGACATGACGTATCTATCTACACCTGGTAGATAGACAAAAAGGAATTGTAGGAATGACTAGCCCCTTGGATCGGACATCTCGAAATCTGAGCCTGACATTAATTTCTCAGTGATGGGATTACTGGAAAAGACCCTGTTTTCCATACATGGCGTCATACCTAGCATTATTTAAACTTCTGAGTAACTTCCTATCCAAACTCTTTTCCCCTTTATAAAAGGAGGAAAACAGGGAAACTTCTGGTAGCATGGCAGACTGAGTTGACCAACGTGAGAAAGATGTTGGGGAAAACTTGTAGTTGTATTGGGGGAAAAGAAGCCAGGGAGGGAGGGACCAAGGGAAAGCGGGAAGGGAGTAGTACCCAGATACACGAAAGGAAGGAAACGCTAAGCCAGCTCCCACGGCTGGGGACAAGAGTCGAGTTGGGCACATTTTCATGCCGGGTAGCGATAGAAGATGCGGCCTCCAGCCTGTGGGGCTCAGGGTTGCGGCAGTTACAGATTTTGTGGGTGAGGAGAGCTGGCACTGAAGGAGGTTAGAAAACCCCTGGCAGCCGTGCTGAGGCGGCAGCACGACACTGGTTGCACAGGGTACTGGGAGGGGAAAGAAGCCATCCAGGAGGTATCCCCAAACCGAATTAGTCTGAATTTTTTATTACCAGCATCTGAAGGCTCATAAAATAGGAAAATTAATGAAGACTGACCATCTAAAAGCCCCAGATCCTCCTGCTCACAGAAACAAGCCGATTGGATTGCAGCACTGAGAAACCACTGGCCAGCGAGTCAGTTTCAACTCCTTAACCCTCTAGCACGGAGCAGAACTGGGTTTGAAGGCTGGGAAGCAGAGCTCATTATAACACTGCTCCGTATTGCTCCTGTAGAATGGCAGGCGCATTCAAACCACTGGCCTTCAGTGAGCAGCCCAGCCCGTTGAACACCGCCTGCGGGCTCCTCAGTAGCAGCGTGGCGAGGTATGCTCGGCAACTCTGAATGAGAAGAGAGGAGGAGGAAAGGTGAGGTCTAACGTTTGTTCAATAGATGTTGCCTTTGGCTCCCTCCAGACATACAAGATAACAACGACTGGAGAATTTTTTTCTAGAATTATATCCAGATAAGCACCGTCTAGTTGAAGAAATAGGAATCTTGAGTAAACACAGATTTATTCCCTGCTGGAGAACTGTGTTTGGTTCCTGACCAGCCTGAAAATCCAGTCATGTGTTGGTGGATCCTTTGTGTTGCTGTGCCATCCAATAGATTCCAGCAGAGCTCCAAACCATGGCAGCTTAAGAAGGAAGGCCATTGCCTTCCAAAAACCAGCCAGTGGAATCACAACAGTAGTGTAAGGTGGGCTTTGTAACCGATAATGGGGCTCGGGACTGGCAGCATTTGGTTTCACTGTGCCCGGGGTTGCCACAAATCCCCATGAGGAGCTAGCAACAGCAACAAAGGTTTTCTGACTGCTGACCGTGTTGGACACTGCTAGTGCCTGAGCCCCCAGACATGGTTTTGGATAGAATAGAAATCCACATTTCTTTGATCCTCTTAAAACTAGCGAAGCTATGCCAAAACTTAGGAAGCTTAATTTTCCTTAGGAAAATACTACACCTGGTCATTGATCTTTTAGTTCAAACCAAATCCAACTGCCCCATAGGATTTCCTAGGTGGAAATCTTTATGGAAGCAGACTGCCACACCTTTCTCTCAGGTAGCAGCTGGTGAGTTCAAACCACAGATGTTTCAGTTAGCAATCCAGTGCTTAATCCATAGTGGTCCCAGGACTCTCTGACTTCCTGATAGACTATAAAAAGGTAGCTTTTTAGTTCTTTAGCCAAACCCAACATTGCTTTGAGCTGACTTTGAGGAATAGAAAAGGAATTTTTCCTTCTACTTCACCGAATTGCTTACTTGTCAATACCAACCATTATTCTGATGTTGAATCCCTGGTCTCACACTGAGCTCTTGGATGCATGGTCATGGCTGCTTGCCCATTCTCTGACCTTTTTTTTTTTTTAAAGAAAGAGCAAGTTCTAGGAGTTCTTATTGTTTGAATAACAGCACACACAAAACCAGGCAGAGAAGTCCCCAAGGAAATGGTGGTCATGTTTCACTGGTATCTGTCTTTTGGTCCTTCATCTTCTAAGCACCTAGATATTTTTCTATTTATGCTACTAGGCATTTATTTTGATCACAAATGCAATCTCAAGTGTGAATAAATAAATGTTTTTTATCCTTTAATACTTATCCCCTCCCCACGTTCCTTTAAATAGGAAAAAGAAAGAAAAAAAAGGTGCTCAATGTCTTCTCAGTGCCTGTATGGCCGTAGTTGTCCCACCATTGTTTTAAAAACAGACTGTGATTTGGTCTTCCCCAATCGTCCTTGAACTATAGCTCTTTCGCCGAAATCCAGGGGCAGCAGGCCTTACTGGTATTGTTGATCATCTCTAAAAGGGGAGGATGGCCACTGGGTTGACGACAACTGGGAGGATCTTCAGCAAGCTGAGGACCATGGGAAAACTGCGTGGGGGCAAATCTTGTCAACAAGGTACCAGCTCCTTCCATTAAAGCTAAGAAAATGCCACCCATTGCAGCTGACCCAACCATGGCCACCGGTCCAGTTCTTGCACCAGGATGGCTCCTGTTAAGGCACCACTTGCAATGGAGTCCCAGGATCTTCTTTGCCTCCGACTTGAACCGTACTGCAGTCGATCATGGAAAACAGGCCTCCCCAAACTGCAAAGCTGCCTCCCAATTGTGGTGCCCTGGTCTTAATCGCTGTCAGACTCCCTCCTGGTCTGTGGTTGACCCCCACTGGAGAATTCCGAAAACCTTTGATGGCTTGGAAGATACCACCACCCATGGTGCCCATGGTGAAGGCTCCCCACAGTCATCCACGATGTGCCAAGGGCAAGGTTCTCGCACATACTCCTCCATCTTGACTCCAGCCCAGGGACCTTTCTCTGACTTCTTTCTCAAAGTGAGGCCTTTTGAAATACACACCTGACCTCGGAAACGTGACTTTTATAATAATAATTGAAAAATCCTTGATACTCCCAGTGTTCTGTCCTACTGGGTGCCAGAGTTATTTCCTCTACAGCTGCCACTTGGTTCCGCTCACCTCCACTGTGGAAATTGTACTACCTGTCTTTGGGTAGTAGCTGTGGGTCTTTCCAGAAGGGAAATAGCAACAACAACAACAAAAGTCAGACTTTTGTGCTTAGTTTCCTTAAATATTGCCCAACATTAGGCAGTGAGCTTTAGCCCCTTCTTTCATTCAACCTATATTTACTGAGAATCTGGCACCTGCAGAATCCTATGATAAGGAATGCAGGGTATATACAGATGTCTCTTGTACTCAAGATACATTAAAACCTTTGGAGTCTACAAACCAAACCCCTGTCATGAAGTCAGTTTAGACCCATAGGACAGAGTAGAACTGCCTCTTTGGGTTTCCAAGGCCATGAATCTATGCAGGGGTTCTCAATCTTCCTAGTGCTGCGACCCTTTAATGCAATTCCTCATGTTGTGGTATCCCCCCCACAACCATAAAAATGATTTTCATTGCTACTTCATAACTAGTTTTACTACTGTTATGAATTGGGTGACCCTGTGAAAGGGTCAAGGGTTGTGTGACCCCCAAAGGGGTCATGACCCACCGGTTGAGAACCACTGTTCTATGGGAACAAAATACTTCCATCTTTCCCCTAAGGAGTTGCAGGTGGATTTGAGCTGTTGACCTTGTGGGGAACTATTCCATTGTGTAACTCATTATGCCAAGGATGTTAGAGAAGAAATAAAATAATTTTGGGGAGATAATATAGTTATTATAGACTATAGAAAATGTTGAAAATCTGTCAACCACAAGCCCAATAATGGATCATGAAATCACATTAGTGGGCCTGTTAATTCTTTAAAATGAAAAGAATGTAACAATATCAGGACCTTGCATCTACTAAGGGCATTTTCTGGTTATTTTTGAAATTTATATTGGGGTTGTAGTGCCAAATGTTTTCAATGTGGGTTACATTCAAAAAAAGTTTGAAAGGGTGGGGGAAATATGCCTCAGAATCAGGAAGTCTCATGAAGAGAGTGGCTTTGTGGATTTAGAGCTTAGTAAGTGAGAGTGGGCTAATCCCAGGAAAAGGGGCATTTTAAATAGGGTAGATCAAGTTAGCACCCCAAACTCAGCGCCAGAGAGATGTAGTGGACCACTACCCAGCTCAGATGGGATTTAATTACGGTCAGTCTGAAGGAGTGTGAGTGTGTATTGAGAGTCAGGACTTTTGATTTGGAGCTATGTTAATAATTAATTGTGTGCCCCTAATGGATTACTGATAGCTTATCAGTTTGGGTTGCCCGTGTGGACTTTGGCAGCTCTAAACTTAGTCTGGTTGCAAACAACAAGTGAGTGCTATGATAGGTCCGGTGGTGGGGTGTCTTGTCCTGCCCCCCACTCTCCCTGCACTTTGAGCAGGCCCTTTGATAAATGCCTCATTACCCTCTGCATAGTATTGACAGCTTGCCGGGAACAGACATGGGTTTGCTCAGGGACCTCGGTTTTAAGTAGAGATTTAACAAACCTAATAGGTGCTTATGGGCTTCATGCTTCGCAGAGCCCTAAAAAGCACGCTTGTTTGACTTACCCTCCAGTGGGTTTTCTCATTACTTTCCTAGAACTTCCAAGACAGGAGTCCTAAGGAATGAACCGTTTCTAGCAGCCACCCAAGGTGGAATTAAGAGCCTCAAACAGATGACATAATGTCTGAAATACTTCAAGAAAGACACACATAACAGGTTATTATAAAGATGAAGAGGCTCTGAGGGAAATTCTGCAAGAGATATCATTACTTTCTAATTGTTTGGACAATAAATGAGAAGAATCCTATTCCCACCCCTTACTCAACGGAGATACTGATTACAGGGTGAGGATAATTGAATTTTAGAAGGAAATTTAAAAAAATACTTTCTGCAAGAGTGACTTAAAGAATCTAGCCTGTGGTGCACTCTCTCTTCCTGTCTCCATCCATCCTTGAAGAGCAAGCTGCCGTGAACCTGCATCAGATTCTTCCTTCACCTGCTCCAGGAGGAGTATGCCTGGGGCTCCTGTCCCCAAGACCTTCAGAGTGAGGAGTGGTCATGCTTATCTACCAAGCTAGTTGGCTTAGGGCCCACTGCTCAGATCCCAGGACCCAGGTGTGGAAATGGCTAAGGCTCTGGGGCATCAAGATTCACGTGGCAGCTGGCTGAACTGCAGAGGAAATCATCCAGATGTCCCCTGGAGAAGAACAATGGGAGTTTCATGGTGGGGAGAGGTTTTTCCCCCTAAAAGAAATTTGCATTTCTGAGGTCCGATGATGTCCATCTCAAAAGCCCAGTCCTGCTAGGACTCCTGGGGCACCCCTTACACAAAAATGCCATATTCTTTACCCTATCTCCCAGCTTTGGGTTGAGGACTATGGCTCTTTCGAGCACCTGATCCTTTTGAAGGGAGGGTTGACATCGAGTTTAAAATAGTTAATATATAATTTGAAACTTGAATGAGAAATGTGTGTTCTTCGGCTGGTAAGCAGCAGAAAAAGAACATTACGGAGGGCATGAATACGATCCCTTTCAGAAATGCGTTAGGAAGAGAAACCTTTATTTGAAACCAGAAGTGTTAAGAAATACACATTCCTAGCAGGTGAGCAGTCTGACCCCTAGGAGTGTGGGGATGGAGGCCAGACTGTCAGAGAGCCTCACGGGTAAGGAACGAAAGGTTCCAACGGGAAGTTTCCCAGGGAGGAAAGAAGCCTGTGCGGACTCCGTGAATTAACAGAATTCGCGGAAGGGTTAGACGAGTTAGCCCGTGGAGCTAGGGTCTCAGCGTCAGATCATGCGACTGCGAAAAAGGTGCTGAGTTTGTCCCTACAAACCCTCCGCAAGCGAACCAACCGCTGGCGTCGGTCCACGCAGCCGGCTCCAGCACCTACCCGCGCACCTCCACCGCCCGCGCAGCACCACGTGGCAGGCTCTGGGGAGAGCTGGGCGGGGCGAGGGGCGGGGCCGAGGGCCAGTGTGGGTGGGCCCTGATACTGACATGCTCGGTATATAGCCGGGCATGCGCGCCGTGGCGGGGACCGACGGAGGGAGGGGGCCCCGAGGCGCACTGTGCTGCCTGCCGGGACGCACGGGCTGATCTGCTGCTGGTGGAGGCTGCGGTGCGCCCCAGGGCCTTGCTGGTGTCCTTGCGCCGGGCGCAGGTGACGTCCGCTTGGAGCTCAGGTGAGGGCTGCAGAGCGTGCTGGCGGGGCCGCGGGGAGCCAGAAGGATGGGGCTCCCATGCGGGGAAACAGCGCGCTTCCAGGGCTTTGGGGTCAGGGAGTGGGGGTTGGGGGCACTCGCCGTGCAGAGGACCGGGAGCGGAACGGTGGTTCCTCGACCCGGGAGCCTCTTCGGAAGACGGATAAAAGGGCCCGGAGGGTTTGCAATGAAGGCGGCACCTGGCCGCGGTGCAATGACTTGGGGGTACTTGGTGGCCAGGGAAGGGAGGTCGCAGGCTGCAGTCTCTTGTACGAGAGAGCGTGGGATTTGTGACCCAGAGAAGGGGGCCCAGAACGTGGAGAGCCGTACTGGGGCTCAGGGCCACGGAGGATGGACAAAGCAGAATCCATGGATAAATAGATGGGCAGTTCTTGGCGTGTGTCCCGTGGGGCGCTGCTCCTGACTTTGCTTTCCTGCGATGGACGGCGTCCGCTGCCCTCCCAAGGACCGGCCTACCTCCCAACTGGCCAGGAACAAGCGCTAGAGGAAAGCCCAAACTAGGCGCGGATGGCTTGGGGGTTATTTTTGGTCAGCACCAACCAAGTTAGGTGGTCTGGCTTACGCTGCCCCCTCTTGGTGGGACAGGGCAGCGGGACAAAAGAGCCATCCCAGCAAATGTACCATGTTATTCTAACGTCAGAATCAAGCCAACAAAATGTTCCCAGCTCCGTTTTGAAGATCACTGGTATCCGCCAGGGCCTGGGTTCCAAAACAGAGCTGCTTTGAAGACAGTTGAACTGGGTGCCCTGGAGGTCTCTGGACATGACTTTAGTGAGGAATCACAGCCTCTTCTGGGGCGTGAATGGGACCGGGGGACAACTATGATAAGGCTCCTTTTCCCGGAGTATTCCTGTTGTTTGGATTTGCGACTTTAACCACTCTTCCCTAAGATCCCTAGGCCACTTGGATAGGTGTGCTACTGCATTTAGAAAGTGGTGATGTAGTGAGTGATGACGGGAGGTGACCTGGACTCCCCTTCTTCCCTAACTGCCTTTGCAAACTTGGGGAGGTCTCAGTGCCAAGGCTGGGCTAGATAGCTTGTCCTCAGGATCTACAATTCTGTGATCCCTACCTCTTACAACACAATCCCTAAAGATTGTGTCGTAGAGGAGCTTGCCTCCTTGGTGAAGCAAAAGGAGGAATGTCCAAAATCACAACGCTTAGTCTGCTGGAATGAAAAACCACACATTGCATTTCCTGTTAGAAAACCGGTGACTTAGACCTAGCAACGTGGCATTGTTGTTGTGAACCAATTGGGTAGTAGTCAGGAGGTACACTAGGGATCTTCTTGCCTTTGGTTTGCAGATATGACTAGACTGCACCAGATAGGATTAATTCAGAGTGGAAGAAGATAAGTGGAGAATAGCAGTATATACGAGGGGGTCTCCAAAGACTTCATGGAAAATAATATCAAAAGATGAAAAATTTAAGCTTTATTTTTCAATAGAAGCTCCATCAAATTCAAGATTCACTTGTAAGCAATGATACCAGTCATTTAAACCATCCCTAAAGAACTGGGAATTTAACTAAGCTAGTGTGGTCTTTTTTGCATTATTAAAGAAAATGGTTGCCCTTTAAAGATTTGAGATTAGGAAACAAAAAGAGGTGAGAAGAAGCCAAATCAGGACTGTGAGGTGGATGTCTAACGATTTTCTGGTGAAAGGCCCGTAAAATTGGCCTTGCTTGATGAGAGGAGTGAGCAGAAACATTGTCATGGTGGAAAGGGAGTCTCCGGTGAAGCTTCCCTGGGTGTCTTTGTGCTAAAGCGTTGGTTGTCTTTCTCAAAACACTCTCATAATAAGCAGACGGTATTGTTCTTTGGACTTCCAGGAAGTCAGCCAGCAAAATGCTTTGAGCATCCAAAAAAAACCTGTTACCATGACCTTTGCTCTTGACTTGTCCACTTTTGCTTCGACTGGACCACTTTCATCTCTTGCCGTTGTCTTATGTTTGATTTTCAAGATCTTACTGGTAAAGCCATGTTTCCTCTCACAGTACACTTCGGTAAAGAAATGCATCAGGATCTTTCCTCTGCTTGTTTAAAATTCCCACTACAGTCTCTGCTCTCGATTACTGATGAGCTGAGCGAAAAGTATGTACACCTTTACTCCTTCAGTCAGAGTTGTTTAAGCTGAACCAATGGAGATGTGCACGACACTGGCTGTTTCTGCTGTTAATCACGGGTCTTCTTCAGTTAGAGCAGGAGCAAGGGTAACTTTCCCCTCACAAATTGACGTGGATGGTTTATTGCCGTGACTGCATCTTCAGCCTGGTCTTGTCCCTTCTTAAAATGAGCTATTATTTGTACACTGCTGGTTTCGTTGGGGGCGTTGTCTCCATAGGCTTTTGGTAAGCATCGATGATTTTATCATTCTTACCACTCTTCACCATCGGTTTGGTGTTTGTTTTTGCTTTAATTTGTAGCAGAATTCATGTTTTAACCTCTTAGTACATCAAACTACCTCCTGTTCGGGCATATTATATAGTAAGTTAGTATGAGTTTATTTTGGTGCAAAAAAAGTTTGAAATTATGCATAGATTTTCCTAATAAGCGTGTTCCATGAACTCTTTGAAGTGCATCTGGACCAGTTTATGCCATTAGAATGCAGACACTTGTTGGAGAGAAAGAACCTTCTGCTGATTCACTGGAAAGTCTTAGGGAAAAATGACTGCCCCCCCTTCTCCCACCCCAACACACACACCCCTTTAGATTTAGGTTTGACTCTGCTGCCTTCAGTTACTGCCACTAAGTCCGTTTGAACTCATAGCAACCCATAGGACAGACATTTCCTCTCCTACCTGCACAGTACTAGCTTTTTATGAGAGTTGAAAGCTTTATCTTTCTCCCTCCAACCCATGTCTACTTTTTGTAAGATCTTGTGATCCAAATCATAGTGCTTCTGAATGGATTGTGTATGTCTGGGAATCAGGACATTTCCTCTCCTGCCTGTACAGAGAAAGTCAAATGATCACCTTGATGAGTCTTATGAGCACCTGATGCCTGAAGAAAGCACTGCTTAGCCCTAATTTTGCAGAACCACAGAGTGTTGGATTGGAGGGACCTTGGTAGTTTTTTGACCTGACTCCTTTATTTTTTTTAAGTAAAGAAACTGTACCCAGAGAAGTTAATAAATAGTAGCCACCAAAGAGTAAAATCTCTTGAGTCATTAAAGGTTAAAAAATAAAAGCAAATATTTTTATTAAGGGCAATATAATTTATGAATTATGGAACTATAGGATAAAGAGGAATCACAGAATGCTCCACTATGTGTAGTGTTGTCATAAAGCCGTATTTATACACTAAACCAGGAACTTAGGCTCCACTATTGTGATTGGTCCTTGGTGAGGTAATGCATTCAAGGGTGGGCTATCTGGAAGCATGGCTTTCGCTCTGTTGCTTTGCTGTGTATGTGGATGACAGTGATTGGATGCAGTGCATCTCGTAAGGGATCACAAAGTGATCACAAGTTGCTTACTTGATAGATTTTCTAAGAACACATGGTAGAATATTTTACCCATGGTTTCATGTGATGTACTTTTAACATTGGTAGCCTAGTTACAGCTTATAAGAGAGCACTGTGTGCTCAAACATAAAGAATAGAAAGATAGAAATCTTTGCTAAGACAATCACAATACAGTGAACCAGGTTTGTAAGACCTCTAGAGTTATAGAAACAGGACAGGTTCCTTCATCCTCTATTGAACAGGTTTAAAGTTCGAATGAAGCTGATCACCTAAATACTAAGTTATGCGAAACGAATCTCCAGTTACCTGCCTCCCCTGCCCGCCACCCCCCCAAATCCTACATTATTCAGTTTATACAACTGTTAATTGTTGCTAAGGGAAAAAGTAGGTCAAACAAAACGGAGCCAGCTTCCATTAGAAGGCACCTTAATTTTAAAATCCCTTACACATTCCTTCATTTTGATCAAGGAGCGCAATAAAAATCATGTGATCTTGTATGGACCACTATCGGAAGAGGCCTTTCTTCTTCCTAGGCTCCAGCATGCAGTGATCTTAGATGGCGGCTTGTTTCTCAAGGCTGTAAGACTCTGGACGCTCTGAAAGCTGTAAGGTCTCCAGCCCCATGGATGTCTCTAGCATGCCGTGGCTGCTATGTCACAGCGGGAGACTCCTGCCCTGCAGTTCCTTTACGGAGGGTGGGCTTCAGGCTCGGCCATAGCAGAGGGAGAAGGTGGCTCTTGAGAAAGGCCTTCTCCAGGAGTAAGCGTGAATCTGTTTGAAGTATGAATGCTTTTCTGTGTACATTATTCTCTTTGTGAGCAATAGAGAGGGTTTTTGGAGATAGGATGTTTGTAAAGCATCTTATACAGCAGATGTTTACACCCAGAAGAGCAGCAGTCAGGATACGTGCCAGTAGACGGGTGAATAAAGTGGAGCTAATCCAAGGTCCTCCTCTAGATAACCAGCTGGCCATCACGTCAGTTTCCCCCCAGCGAGTGACCCATGGGACCGAGTAGAACAGCCCCATGGGGCTTCCTAGGCTGCCGTCTTTACGGACCCAGGGCCACCAGGCGGCTGAAAAATCACCAGCCCTTTGGTTGGTCGCCGAGCACATGCCCATTGCATGCCAGGTTTCCTTCTGTGGGTCTAGCTAATTAGATTGGCAAATAGTTTAGATTGGCAATTAGATTGGCAAATAGTTTAGATGATTGGCAATTAGATTGGCAAATAGTTTATATGCAGAATGTATCACCTGTGATTTCCAAGTTCCTTATTTTATTCATTTCCCCCCAGCATATATATATATAAATGGTATTCGGTGAGATAGCCGATCCTTGATCTCCACTGTGACCCGGTGGCATAGATCATTTCAGGAGTTTGCCTTATTAAGTAACAAGACCTATCTTGTACAGCACATCATTTATTCAAAAGAAACTTCAAACCAGAAAACCCAGTCCAGAGATGGCTTCAATTCTGATTTTTAGACGTTCTTGTTCC